TATTATGTTATTTTTCCCCTTTCTTTCTTTCGGCACAACACGCGTTTCACGAGGCGAACGTTTTCGCGGAAATTATATTTTAATGGTACTTGACGCTACTAAAACGCAAAATCGCGAAAATTGTATAATTACACCGCATCACGGATACACACGTGCACGCTCGGCAACACAATCCCGTCGGCTCAGTCGTTTAAATTTAAACGCGGGCACTCTGGCGCGGGAATTATAATTAATTTGAACGCGTGTACTTTCCTGCATTTTCGCTTTGTACCATTTGTTGACGATGGACGATTATTCTCGCTAATTCCGCAGCCATTTTTAACGAAGCGACAACGCGACGACGGAGCCGCTCTCGCACGGCGAGGATAACGCGGAGCGCGCGGTTATCGGACTTTCTACTGAATGACCGAATAGCGAATATAACGCGATAATACTTACATTTAGCAAAGGAGGAGACAATCCGCCATATAAATTACCCGACGGAGGAAATTAACGGGATTTCCACTTCAACTCTGCAACGAGCAGGATAACGGGATAACGTGATATTTTCTTTTGTTGTCGAACGTGTACGCGCGCGCGCGTGTGTATACGCACGTTGTTACTCGACTGATACCACAACGATAAGGATTAATCGCGTTCCCTAGAGAGAAAGAGAGAGAGAGAGAGAGAGAGAAAGAGAGAACCGGCGCAGAAAACTCAACCTCGCGTCCGAAGGACGTAAGTCGGCCAAAGTGGAGTCGCCGATGCGAGCCTCGCCGGTTTAAGGCACTTTTGTCGGCCCCACTCTGAGAAAGACGCGCCGGAGTCGAGTTTGATACCCCAGAAGAGGCACCGCGCAAAACACACATATCGCCGCATGTAACGGGTCGTCTTTTTCCGTCCTCGACGACGCTCCGACTCGGTAACGAACAGCATCGGACTGGCCAGACCGGCAAGTCGGACTCGAAAGTCGAGATATCAGAATGGAAACAAAAACTATATAAAATTTAATATTTATAAATAATTATATATCAATAGAGAGAATTATACGTCGCGCAATCATTTGTATAATTAATAATATATATTCTCTAAATTGTACACAATAAAAAGACATTTTGTATTTGTGTTCAAGTCGGCCTTGGTGAAAATTTTTGTGTAAAATTTCTAACATATCCGTGCGTTAATTTAACGTATTAACTTTACGTTATCTCAATATTTTATGTTGAATTAATATTCAATATGTGTAAATGTTAAAATAACACATTTTATATTTTAGCGTCGATTAACGTATTAATTTTACATTAACGTTTGGCATAATTTTTTATATATTCAACTTGTGTTAAATTAACCCAAAAATTGTGTTTGGGACATGTAAAGTCTGTTAAATTTAACACGAAATTGTTTATCGTATATACATATAACTAAATATAAATAAAATTACGCGAGTATATAATTAAAGAATAAAAATTCGTCTCGCTTATTTCGTACCATTACATCATATCATATATATTTCTTTACGTTGTAGAAGATATCAAAGAATATTCGCGAAATAAGAAAGTGCAGGAAAAATAGCTGCGCGAAACGGATATCGCCTGTCGGCGTGAGAACTACGAACACTGCAGGCTGGAAAAGTCGTAATATATTACGGCGATCGCGTCATGCAAATGAAAAATAACATACGTCTGTGGCAGTTGCCGATATCCTGCGGCACGTAACGGATCCTCATGTCGACGGCGCGGAGCCTCCCGCGATACGTCAAGTAGCGGCCGAAGCGAACGATTAGATCACCGGACTAAAAATCGAGCGAGACTCGCTTTCATTCTCCCGTCGCTGTCAAGTCACTATTGTTCACAGTAATAGATCGCGCCGGTGACGTCACTGCACGGTGCATCGATCACGTCGCGGAGGCGTATCGTCGATGCGCGATCGGCCGGCGAAGCAGGGACCGGCGGCGGCACACACTTCCGGAATTTCGCCGGCGATCTCCGAAAATATGGGATGCAAATTACAATCGGCTACGGAGGGACGGACGATGCGGAGGAGACTTTCGCCTAGTGCGTTCCCTCGATTCTCTCTATCGACTCGCCGGCGGTGGAGAGTATCTTTCTTGACATTAACGATCGCGCAAACGTCGGCTACGATCCTCGCGGGTAATAACGGATTCCATAGAAAGTCTTCCTGTTCACCCGAGATCGATAGCGCCGATGAGCAGCCGTAGCAAAGCGTTCGGTTATTTCGCAATTCCTCCGGTGACTTGCTACATATACGATCCGATCGTGCCGCGTGCGTATCGTAATCACCCGGTAGTGTGAATCGTCGATACGATTTGCGACCGATCGAGGCATCCTTCCTAGGTAGCGTGGAAATCGAACATCGTGAGAACACGCGAGGAGCTAACGAGCGGTCGATGTAATCACATCTGACGTTAATGCGAATCGCTTAGTCGCGTATTAAGTGACACGTCTGATCGACAGTCGTATCCTCTGCTCGACTCGTCAGTGTTTGTCCTAGTTTAGACATCAACTGGATTAGATGTACCGTTATCGGCCGCCGGTTTTGACCCAACTTTGCGCACGAATCGCGAGCGAAACAGGAAACGGTTGTGTCATTTTTGCAAGACCTTCGAGACTTCCGTTGTCCTTGCACGTGACTACTCGCTATTTCTCCCGCATGATAACCATGACGGTGTAATTTCCAGATACGTATATATATATATATATGTGTGTGGGTTCCGCGAGATCATTAATATCCACCGCAAAAGAATATCCTTTTGTGACGCAGTCGGTGTCATTCGACGACGGCACGTGTGGAGTCACTTCACTGTTTCTTCTTTGCACTCGACAGCCGGCGATCGATTCCGCGAGCACGAGTGGATCGTTATTAGAGAAGACACAGCCACCCGTCAAACGTCGACGTCCGTTCGACGACTATTGTCCGCGCGAATCGACAGCTGAACGCGGTCGATTTACGCGACTGTCGCGCACATCAATTACACGTACAGACGCGCGTCCCGTGATTTCGGATCGATCGGAAACATCGAGAGGACGCTTCCGCGCGCACCAGACTCGAGCGACGGGAAAATGAAGAGTCGGTCGTTACCGCGGTACGTCGCGGTACGGTCTTCGCGCAATTTTCCCCGCGTCTTCGCGAATCGCCCCATTCGTCCCGCGTCCTTAACGGATCTCGTCGACGGTAATTATCGTCGGCTGGCAGCCGCGTCGAGAGGATCGACGGCTGCCGAGACACCGGATCGATTCACGGAGAGTCCTCTCGCCCGGTTAGACAGTCAACACGATACAGTCGGGAATGGACTGCCGCGAACGGAGGCTGTGTATGAAAGTAAATATTAACGTGTGGTCTCCCTCGCTTACACTCGCGCGTCGTCCATGCGTGATCGTACGTACGAGGCACCGACACAAGCTCGGCCTTTCTCTCTTTCATTCCCTCTCTTTCCACACGATTCTCCGTCTCATTCTCTCTACCGCAAATAGCGCGTCACGTGAGCGCGTATGAGCGAGTGCGTGTCATCTGTTTAGTATCAACCGCGCTGCGTATTTCCGTACGCACTTTTACGACGCGGGAGTAGATGTTGGGGTAGTCGCCGCTCGGAAATAGTTCATCTGGCATTTCGTCGACAAAGACTGTCGCCTCGTCGCGGTCTGGGCTTCTGTATGGATTTCAACGACGCCTTGAGGCGACATTTAACTGCTTCTAACGACGCGAGGCGAGAATGCATTTGGTATATGGATGTTTGTACTTGTCGTATGACACGTATATCTCGAAATTGTATATTATGTATGTAGGTGGAATTAAGAGCGTAACAATTCACAAGAAGTAACAGGGGAAACGGCCAAATATACCCACGTGGATTATACGTATAAAATTGTCCCTTGTTAAACTTTCACTCTTGATTAGTCAAGCCGTCATATGCCGTTTGTGAAAATTATTATATGTATTAGATTGTTAGAACACTCAACTTTTTCTCAAAATTTCTTGAAAGAAGAAGAGTAATGTTGCTACAGTTAGTTGAACAACGTGGAATCGATTGCGGGGAAAAGGGCAAAATCAACGGTTCAATTAAGAGCGTCCGGAAATTATCACTATAACCTCGAGCTTTCTTTCGTATCGCGAGGCGTCGACTGTCGGAAAAGGTAAGTACGACGCGTTTTAACGAGCGTAGGCACGCGATATTGCGTAGGGCTCACCTACGCGCGTATTATTAATCGTATGCGACGTTATATCCTACGCGTCCCGAATCGTTCGACCTGCGCCTTAAAAAGAATCGTTCAAGTGAACGCGTGAAAAAAAAAAACCTGTCTTCCCGTCATATTCCACTCGGCATAAATTAATACAAAGAGAGTGAGTCTACACACAAATAGATTCCAGTCTGCTATTATTCAGAATTTTGCAATAAACGCTACTATTAATATTTATACACACTGAAAAAACAGTAAGAGGTTTTCAGAAAAAGGTTGAAAGTTAAAGTCCATAAAAATCTATCGAAAACCAAGCGTTAAAAATCCAGTTGAATTAAAATCGAGATATTTCTACTTAAACGTTTAATTAGACAAGCGAATAAATTGAAAGATATCGAAATGTTTAATTCCCAAAAATTCCCGCAGCGGTAAGAGCGACAATATCGCGATGTGGCCGGTCATTAACGGATTCGCTCGACGTCGCGGACGAAAGGCGCGACATGCTCTTCGTATTCTAGATACCTGATTCAAGGTCGTCGTGGTCGGCTCCGCGCAGGCAGGAGTGAAAACTGCGGGACAGTCGGCGGCCACCGGGCGAGGCGCCCTCCGTCGAGACGCCCTGCATCCTTGATAATTGCTTGAGCTCGGCACCGTGGAGGAGTCACTCTCCTTGTTCTCGCTCAGGTCGGGCTGGGGTGAGGTGAGCAGGATCGCGTCGTCATGGTTCTTTTGTCTTTCTTTCCTTCCTTCCTTCTCAACGCGCGCGCTCCGTACGACGACCGTACGGAGGACAACGCGGGAGCCGAATAATTAAAAACTAATTAACCGCTAAGGTGCGTCCGCATGCGCGCACGTGGGTGTAGCTCGCGAGAGCAACCTGTTCGCGCGCTCCTCTTCGCTCTAGTTCACCTGCAAAGAGAATCGAGCGGTCCGTCGGTGCGGGGCCACACAGATGTTGGCACACGCGCGCGGCGAACGTTCTCCGAAGCGACCCATGATCCAAAAGTTCCTGGCGGACGAGATCGTTCTCGATCTCACTCTCCCGGGGTTTTCGACCTCGCGACGACCGGACTCGAAGCGTGTTCTCGCCCGGCTTAATCTCTTTGTACGCCGGGTGGTATTAATCAACTTGAAAAATATCTCGTCGAGAGCCACCCAACGTCAGTCGCGTCCACGTCGAAAGCTGATAGATCCCGGCGAGCGCGGCCGAATGAGACTTTTCCTCTTTCGCGCGGGAAAGCGCCATCGACCTTATGCGAGACGACGACAACGACGACGCATAAATCACCGCGCTCGCACAGCTCAATTTGCAGCTCGGCATAATGCCGTTGCGCAACGCAACGCGACAGAAACTACGAAAGCGCTTTTACGTGCCCAAACGTGGCTAATGGGCCCCCCCGTCTTTTCGGCACGTAAATTACAGCTATCTATCGAACGCCGGACTCGTACTCATACGTCACGATGACTTACGACGGTTCCAATTACTCGCGCTGGACACAGAACTGTGACTTCACGCGTTTGAAAACAAACGCGAGTATCTCCGGTTACGTCATTCGTTCCGCGAATAATATCAATATTTATAAGCCAGTGAGACATTCCGAGATGCGGGAGGAAAAACATCTTCAACGGGTGAGATAAGCTCAGCTTTATAGTTAAACGTGATGAAAAAATCGTTAATTGATATTGAGAGATTCAAGAAATTGTATTTGAAAAGTTTCAATTTTGCTGGGAATTCTGTCAGAATTGAGGCTTGTTTATCTTATGCAGGAGAAGTAGCGATTTGCAATCTTGCACGGGTTGTGAATGTTTTTGTAAATATTTTTCGCATTTCTCGCAATTTGACGAATTTCGAGAAATTTTACAAACTGTGACACATCCGGAATATCTTTGCACGACTTCGAAATAGCGTCGGATTTTCCGTGAATCAAATGAGTTTGATAAGAATTCATTGAAATTACACTATGTATATATTGAAATGTCTAATTTCTTGTATTAAAAAAAGATTGTTTGGGAGCTGAAATGTTTGCAACTAAAATTGACACTTTTTATACTTGTTCCTCGTCAACGTGCTATTTTTTATTTCTATTTTTAATATCTTTTTTAATATCTTCTAAACTACATATATATACATATATATGATTTTAATGAAAAATTACTGATATAAAAGACTAATATACAGACATTTATATATACATTTTAGAATTATTGATTATTTTGTTTTGAAAATACAACGGTGTGAAGTTTCATAATTTATGATAATACTAATAATATATTTACATATATGCACATATTTAAACATTATTATACCCCTTTTTATTATTTGTACATCTCTATAAAATCAACCGAGTATAAACATATTAATAAAAAAAATTAAAAATATAAAAATTTTCATATTTGTGATATTTTGTATAAATATTTATCTCAATATCATTTCCAATTAACACTTATTATTTAGACGGTAAAAGAAACGTAATTTTGCTTGATGAGTGCTAAATTTACGAGTGGTTCCCTTGATGCGCCGCTGAAAGTATGACACTGAGTTTTATAGTCTCCTTAAGGAGAAGAGGAACTGCATTTAAGAGCGCATCCTGCGTACGCCTAGGCATGCTCTCAGGTATTTTGCGAGTGTTAACTTGTATATGTGTGTGTGCGCGCACGCGCAATCGCTCGATGCATAATTTATGCCGAGCGCGCGTAGGTATGAACGCACGCGTGCCAGCCAGCGCGTGGGTGCGATTTTACAGTACAACAACGCGGACACTTAATTAAAAACGGAGATACAGAAAAAGAGAGAAAAATAATATAAGAAGGAGAGAGAGAGAGAGAGAGAGAGAAGGCGTTTCGATTTCGATCGAACGCGGTGACGAATCGCATCCTCGAGACGTTCCGCCCAGCCGCGATTAATTACTCGCGCGATCGCGGTTGGCTCTTCTTTCAGGTGATTTGCCGGTCTCGGAATCAATAAGATGCATTGATTAACCTGACGAAAGATCGACGAGAACCTAGTTAACAGTGGTTAACGTTACGCCCTCATAGTCATGCTTTATTGTAATGAGAATCTGATCGTCGTTATACGGAGCGCGTGTGACTCGTTCGCTTCCTCTTTGTCAAGCGCATGCCATACACACATTTATCTCTTTATTTAATTAATACATCCAACCGCTCGCGCGTTCGATTCCTTCGCATACTATATATCTCAATTAATGTATCGAGAGTGCCGCGAGAGTTACGAGGCGAGGTCTGAGCCCGAGTAATTAAGATCGCGGCGATTGAGATTAAATTACGAAAGTAGAACCCCCAATCGTGTAACATTTATATTTTGCAGGACTCTACTAAGTAGAAAGAGGTATCTTCAGGAGTCCTCCCCGGAGGCGACGCTATGGAGTATCCTTCGCAATGTGTAGAACGCTTTTTCGGAAGTAGATAGTTGTATCTTTTGAAGAAGATGATGTATTTGAAAGATAAGGATGTCAAAGAAAACCGCGGAATTTTCCGATACAAAATATCGCACAAAGAGATATCTCAAGTTGGAGCATTATCGCTAGAAGCGAAGGAGTTCGTGTATATTTCATAGGGAAGAAAATGCTTTTGAAAAAAAAATGCTCCTCACATTGTTGTATTTTTTAAGCAGAACGATTTTTTGCGAAAGTTGTGGATATTCTTCTAATTGCGATGACATTGCGATGTCATTGCGGAAATAAATGCACTTGATGAAAGAATATGAATACACACATGTAATATTTTCTGTTCGATTTACGCCATCAGGATATTCAATTTGTTTAATTGTAACGTAAGAGTTTCCGCTGTTTTGTCTTTTTTCGCGCGGCATTTGCGAAAAAACACAAGTTTCAAAGTTGTTTGCGTGAAACCACGAATCTGTTGCACGACGAGTTCGGCTTTAATAAATTTCGGCAGTGAAGCGTGAAGGATCTCGCGATTATGAGGCTTCGATACAACGTCGCGGATACGATATTCGTTATAACCCACCTGTTGCTCGTAAACCATAGTTTCCGTGGCTCGACCACGCGGTGCACCGCGGGAAGCGAACGTCTCGACGCAAAAAACGTGGATCCGTTTCAATGGATCGACGCTCGTTCATTTCGCGGAGGTAATTAACGATCCGAGGTCGATCCACGGTGAATTAAATATTAATCAGAGACAATGCAATGCGAAATAATGAACGGTATCGCGTGAATAACTATATCTGCTGGCCCGGGAAAATCGTAAAGCCGTGAGAAAGAACGTCCGCCTGATTTATGGCGCGTATAACGCACCGGAAGAATATCGATTCGAATGAACCGACAGATCGTGTTTTCTTATCTCTCCTCTAGATTTTCTCTCTCTCTCTCTTTCTTTTTAATATAAAATATTAAAAAATACAGTACAGAATATTAAGCATAGGAGCGGTTTAGTTGTCAGAAATAGTGAAAAAAATGAATAAAAAGTGAGACTTTTTCAAAGAATTTATATGTTAAAAATTGAATAGTTTATCTATTATACCATTTCCCTAAGAGATTAAAAATATTGATTAATGAAAGTCAATAATAAGAAAATATGAATGCCGGGAAACAAAGAAAGTTATACATGATATATAAAATTTAGAATTTACTTTAGTTTTAGGCACATGTCTAGATATTTATAAAATTCTATCATAAAATTATTCACAAAAGACAGAAATTTGATTCTTTGAGTTTCCTCAAACACGTTTGATGAAATAAAATAAAACAAAAATATTTAAATCCAGTTAATCTGCATTGCAATAAATTTCCAGGGCATTAAGACATCCCAGATCTTTTCGTCAAAGAAAAACAAATTTTAGAAATGAAAAGAATTACGAGGTACTGTTGCAAACAGACTAGTTAGTTAACTTCTTAAAAATAATATTCAAACAATAATATTCAATAATGTGCAATTAAAAAAAAAAACAGGAATGTTCCAGACTATCATTGATTCTTTTCTTGGGTTTGTTAAGAACTCGTTTTGGCTTGATGGACAAATAAAAATTATGGACAAATGTGGACAAACGATTCTACTATGAAAATTTAAAGAAAACAGTTAAGTGTACTTCTGACGGTCATTGCCTATTTTTCTGTGACAAACTTGATAAAAATAACCTAAAAATAAAATCACTTTCTTCACTTTATGAACATTGTATTATTCTTACGTTCTGTTTTCTTTGAATCTTTTATTTTGTCTTTAAAGGAGCAAATTATTGAATGTAAGAATCGGAGAAAAAAATATATCGGGAGCTGAAGTTTGTTTCCATTTTCCGGGCGACTGCTCTTATACCATTTGAGCTACCCAAGGCTCCCCCCCCCCCCAANTCCTCCCCTTTTTCTACTTCTCCAACAATCCTTTTTCTCAACTCGCGGCCAGTCAAGCCTGATGATCAAACATTCGTACTCGAAATATCTTAAAATACCCATCACGTGCGCCGGCCTCCCTAAACATGCGACACCCTCTGTGCCAAATCTTTACGCTCCACCGGCAATCGGGAATTACCCCCTCCCGAGGGTAGTAGATGCCATCCCCCACTCCCCTCGGATGATGGGTCCACTCACAAAACCTCAGCTCTTTTGTTTAGCGTTTCCTCAACGCGACACTGAAAAATGGTCTCTCGATACACGCGCCCCGCTCCCCCGTCACCAAAGTGTGATAACACTATTACCTTTCCGATCTAGAGAGAGAGAGAAGCCCCCTCTCATCATAAAAACTCCCGGGGGATCGTTGCGCGCGTTCGGAAAACACTAAGAACGAATCTCTCAAATCATACGTAATATACATAAGGCTGACCCCGAGCCGACAAAACCCCTTTTTTTTAATACCTCATTCGCCAAACTTTTCACAAAACTTTATACTGAAAAGTTCGAGAGAAAATGTCTCAGGGATTAGAGGGGAGAGGAGTTTTA